TTTCGTTGTTCAGTCTTTCGGCTGTTTCTGCTAATTCACGACGTTTAGCATCTTCTGATTTAGCGAGTTCTTCATTGAGTTTGGTAATTTCATCTTCTTTAGCTTTGTTTTCTTTCTGGAGATTTTCAAGTTCAGAAAGTTTAGATTTGAGAAGAGATTTGAGTGTTTCTGGATCATTCTCGTTTTCATATTCGAAATCAACATCGCGTGTGGAACAAACAACTTCAACATCTGATGCTTCTTTCTCGTCAATAACTTCTCCCTCTTTATTATTGTTAATGTTTTCGATTTCTTCTTCTAACTCTTTGGTCTTTGTTCCTAACTCATGATTAGATTTAGAAAGAGTTTCGTTTTCTGATTTAAGATCATCGTTTTGGGATTTAAGGGCATCAACTTCACCTTGTTTAGAGGCTAGAAGTTGTTTAAGTTGTTGAATACGTAACTTCTTCTTATCTTCTTTGGATTGATTCTTTTCTTCGTTATTTCCTTCTTGTGATGATACATTTTCTTCATTAGTTTCATTTGTATTTTCATTTGTGTTTGTGTTTGTTTCTGGTTCTGTCTTCGTTTCGGTTTCGTTGTCAGTTGGAATTGTTTCATCAACGGAAATATCACGAGTGCCAACAACGGTGATGTCGTCTTCGTCGTCATCAAGATTAACGTTCTCGATGGATGAAACTTTGGAGGAAAGAATTTCAATCTCACGATCTTTGTCTTTGTTGTTTTGTTCAAGTTCGTTGATTTCTGATTTAAGTTTAGAAATTTCAGATTCGAGTTCTTTGATCTTATTCTCTTTATCTTCATTAGATTTGTTGAGATCATCATTAGATTTCTTAAGATTTTCTAATGACTTCTTAAGTCCTTCGTTTTCTGGAGCTTGGTTCTTAAGAGATTCGTTTTCTGATTTGAGATTCTCACGTTCTTCCTTGAGTTTCTCGATATCATCAACGAAATCTTCTTCGTTTTCGTTGTTTTGTTCTTGAGAAGATTTCTTCTTTCCGTTCTCCAATTTCTCGAGAGCTTCTGTTAATTCGTTGTTGAGTTTCTCGAGTTCCTTGTCTTGATCTTCTTTCTCTGACTTGATCTGCTCGATTTCTTCGTTGAGTTTGGAAATCTCTGCATCTTTAGAAGCCAAAGCTTGCTTCATTTGAAGAGAGTTCTTCTTCTTTTCAGTCAACTTGTCCTGAAGCTGAGAAATTTGTTCGGCCAATCTCTCTTTAGCTTCTTCTGGACTTTCTTCTTCAACATTTTCAAGTTCAACATCTCTTGTGGAAGCGACAACGATGTCTTCGTTATCTTCTTCCTCATTGATGTTCTCGATTTGTTCAACTTTAGCTTTGAGTAACTCGATTTCTCTGTTTTGATCATCGAGTTTTTGCTGTAAGTCATCGATTTGTTTGTTCTTTTCATCGACACTTTGTTGTAACGCATCGATTAAGTTGTCTGCACCTTCCTTCATTTCGTTGTTTTCTTCATCTACGTTCTCTTGTGAACCAGAATTCTTCAAATCTTCCAGCTGTTTCTTGAGATTTTCGATTTCTCGCTTTAACTCTTCTGGAGATTTGTTATCTTCTGATTCATCTGAAGCAGTTGATTCATTCATGATTCCTTCGATAATTTGATCAACTGGAATTCCTAATCTCTTCTTTAACTCGGCATTTTCTTTCTTAAGTCTTTGGTTCTCCTTCTTGAGTTCTTCGTTTTCTTTAAGGAGTTCTGATGGAGACTTGTGCTCTTTGCCGTCTTCTGGATATCCAAGTGCTTTCTCCAAATCTGAGACTTTCTTTTTAAGATCTTCATTCTCTTGGATGAGTTCTGATGGAGATTTGTGTTCTTTGCCATCTTCTGGATATCCTAATGCCTTCTTCAAGCCTTCAATTTGCTTCTTGAGATACTTGTTTTCGTTCTTAAGTTCTTCGGGTGACTTATTATCTTCAGTTGAAGACTCATCAGAAATTCCTAATTTCTTCTTTAGTTCTTCGTTTTCCTTAAGGAGTTCTGATGGAGATTTATGATCCTTGCCATCTTGTGGATATCCTAATGCTTTCTCTAAATCTTCGACCTTCTTCTTGAGTTCTTCATTCTCTTGGATAAGTTCAGATGGAGATTTGTGATCTTTGCCATCTTCTGGATATCCAAGAGCTCTCTTAAGAGCATCATTTTGTTTCTTGAGTTCTTCATTTTCTTTGATTAATTCGGATGGTGTCTTATGTTCTTTTCCATCTTCTGGGTATCCAAGAGCCTTCTTTAGGTCTTCGATCTGTTTCTTAAGTTCTTCTGGTGAATTCGATTCTTCGGCTGAAGACTCACCAGAGATACCTAATCTCTTCTTAAGATCATCGTTCTCTTTCTTGAGTTCTTCGTTTTCTTTGATTAATTCTGATGGAGATTTATGATCCTTGTCATCTTCTGGGTATCCTAATGCTCTCTTCAAGTCATCGTTCTCTTTCTTCAGCTCTTCAATTTCTGCAATCAACTCAGATGGAGATTTGTGATCTTTACCATCTTCTGGATATCCTAATGCTCGCTTGAGATTGTCATTTTGTTTCTTGAGTTCTTCGTTCTCTTTGATTAACTCGGATGGTGTCTTATGTTCGTTGCCATCTTCTGGATAGCCAAGAACTCGCTTCAATGCTTCGATTTGTTTCTTAAGTTCATTGTTTTCGTTCTTGAGTTCTTCTGGTGACTTATTGTCTGCCTTAGAATCTGTTGACGATTCTTCAGAAAGACCTAACTTCTTCTTGAGTTCTTCATTCTCTTTGATTAGTTCAGATGGAGACTTATGTTCTTTACCATCTTCTGGATATCCTAATGCCTTCTTCAAGTCATCATTTTGTTTCTTGAGTTCGTCGTTTTCTTTGAGTAACTCTGATGGAGATTTGTGATCCTTTCCGTCAGATGGATATCCAAGTGCTTTCTCTAAATCTTCAACTTTCTTCTTAAGGTCATTAATTAAGTCCTTAAGTTCCTCATAAGATTTAGATTCTTCAGTTGAAGATTCGCCAGAAATACCTAACTTCTTCTTAAGTTCTTCGTTTTCTTTGATTAATTCAGATGGTGTCTTATGATCCTTGCCATCTTCTGGATATCCTAATGCTCTCTTAAGATCATCATTTTGTTTTTTAAGTTCTTCGTTCTCCTTGATGAGTTCAGAAGGAGATTTGTGTTCTTTGCCATCTTCTGGATAACCAAGTGCCTTCTTCAAGTCTTCGATTTGTTTCTTGAGTTCTCCATTTTCTTGTTTGATTTCTTCTGGAGTCTTATTTGAATCAGATTTGTCAGTTGAAGATTCACCTGAAATACCTAATTTCTTCTTCAAATTTTCATTTTGCTTCTTGAGTTCTTCGTTTTCGTTGATTAACTCTGAAGGTGTCTTATGTTCTTTGCCATCTTCTGGATAACCAAGAGCTCTCTTAAGATCCTCAATCTGCTTCTTGATATTTTCTGTCTCTTCTTTGAGTTCTTCGTTTTCTTTGATGAGTTCTGATGGTGTCTTGTGTTCTTTACCATCTTCTGGAAATCCTAATGCTTTCTCTAAATCTTCGACCTTCTTCTTAAGATCTTCGTTTTCTTTGATGAGTTCAGATGGGGATTTATGATCCTTTCCATCTTCTGAATATCCTAATGCCTTCTTGAGAGAATCATTTTGCTTCTTGAGTTCTTCGTTTTCTTTGATTAACTCTGAAGGAGTCTTATGTTCTTTGCCATCTTCTGGATAACCAAGAGCTCTCTTAAGATCTTCAATCTGCTTCTTGAGATCCTTATTTTCGCTCCTGAGTTCTTCTGGTGACTTATTGTCTTCGTTATCGGATGGAGTTGTAGAATCTGAAATGCCTAATTTCTTCTTGAGTTCTTCGTTCTCTCTGAGTAATTCGGATGGTGTCTTATGTTCTTGACCATCTGCTGGATATCCAAGTGCTTTCTCTAAATCTGCAACCTTCTTCTTGAGTTCTTCATTCTCTTGGATGAGCTCTGAAGGAGATTTATGATCCTTGCCATCTTCTGGATAACCAAGAGCTCTCTTAAGAGCATCATTTTGTTTCTTGAGTTCTTCATTCTCTTTGATTAATTCTGATGGTGATTTGTGATCTTTGCCATCTTCTGGATATCCTAATGCTTTCTCCAAGTCATCAACCTTCTTCTTTAATTCTTCGTTTTCTTTGAGTAATTCTGAAGGAGATTTATGTTCCTTGTTATCAGATGGATATCCTGACTCCTTCTCTAAATCTTCAACTTTCTTCTTTAATTCTTCATTCTCTTCAATTAGTTCTGAAGGAGTCTTATGTTCTTTACCATCTTGTGGATATCCTAATGCCTTCTTCAAATCTTCTATTTGTTTCTTGAGATCTTCTTCCTCCTGATTGATTTCTTCTGAAGACTTATTAGAACCAGATTTCTTCAAATCTTCGTTTTCTTTCTTCAATTTCTCGTTTTCTTCTTTGATTTGTTTGTTTTCTTTCTTTAATTCTTCAATTTCATTTGTCTTCTGTTGAAGTTCTGGAACTAATGATTCGAGTTGATTGATTTGATTTGCGAGTAACTCAATCATCTTGTCTTTAGATTGTGGACTCTGATCTGCAGTGAGTTGGAGTCTTTCATTTTCACGTTTAAGTGACTCGTTTTCTAGTTTGAGATTTTCTAATTCACGTTTCAGATTTTCGTTTTCATTCTTAAGTTCTTCTATTTGTTTCATCAAATCTGTATTTTCTTTCTGGAGATTTTCAAGTTCAGAAAGTTTAGATTTGAGAAGAGATTTGAGTGTTTCTGGATCATTCTCGTTTTCATATTCGAAATCAACATCGCGTGTGGAACAAACAACTTCAACATCTGATGCTTCTTTCTCGTCAATAACTTCTCCCTCTTTATTATTGTTAATGTTTTCGATTTCTTCTTCTAACTCTTTGTTCTTTGTTTCTAACTCATGATTAGATTTAGAAAGAGTTTCGTTTTCTGATTTAAGATCATCGTTTTGGGATTTAAGGGCATCAACTTCACCTTGTTTAGAGGCTAGAAGTTGTTTAAGTTGTTGAATACGTAACTTCTTCTTATCTTCTTTGGATTGATTCTTTTCTTCGTTATTTCCTTCTTGTGATGATACATTTTCTTCATTAGTTTCATTTGTATTTTCATTTGTGTTTGTGTTTGTTTCTGGTTCTGTCTTCGTTTCGGTTTCGTTGTCAGTTGGAATTGTTTCATCAACGGAAATATCACGAGTGCCAACAACGGTGATGTCGTCTTCGTCGTCATCAAGATTAACGTTCTCGATGGATGAAACTTTGGAGGAAAGAATTTCAATCTCACGATCTTTGTCTTTGTTGTTTTGTTCAAGTTCGTTGATTTCTGATTTAAGTTTAGAAATTTCAGATTCGAGTTCTTTGATCTTATTCTCTTTATCTTCATTAGATTTGTTGAGATCATCATTAGATTTCTTAAGATTTTCTAATGACTTCTTAAGTCCTTCGTTTTCTGACTTTAATTTATCGGATTCTTCTTGGAGTTCCTTATTTGACTTAGTTTCGGCATTTTCATCTTCAGCTTTTTCAGAATCTTGTTTGGTATTTTCTGAATTATTCAAGTCTGAAGACTCTGCCTTGTTCTTTGCTAAGTCCTTGAGTTGGTTCTGTAATTCATCAATTAATTTCTTATATTCATCATTGGAGTTTTGAAGATCTGAGTTCTTTGTATTTAATTCTTCGATATTTTGCTCTTGTTTATCATTACGATCCTTTAATTCTTGGATCTGTTCATTAAGTTTCTCGATTTCGGCGTCCTTTGAAGCCAAAGCTTGCTTCATTTGGACTCCATTCTTCTTCTTGTCGTCAAGTTTCTCTTTGAGCTGTTTAACTTGGTCTTCAAGGCTTACTTGTTCTGCTTCTTCCTCATTGAAGTCGCCAAGGTCTACATCTCGAGTTCCAGCGACAACGATATCTTCATCTTCTTCGTCTTCTGGTATTTCCTCGATCTTTGCGATCTTAGCCTTAAGGACTTCAATTTCTTTGTCCTTATCTTCGATTTGTTTCTTGAGATCTTTAATTTCCTTTTCTAAATTCTCAATTATTTCCTTCTTATCTTCATCATCGGTCTGATATTGAGCAATTAGCAAGTTAAGAGCCTTAATTTGTGATTCGCGGTCAGCGATTTTATTCTTCAAATTCTGGACTTCATTTTCTATTCTTTCGATTTCGGCAAGTAATTGAGGATCTTGCTTGGATTGATATCTGGCCTTTAGTTGCTCTAACTCTGCATTCTTTTTCTCAAGTTCTAAACGTAATGATTCAAGTTCTGCTTGTCTTTCCTTCATTGATTGGCCGTTCTTCATATTTTCGTAGAGTTCTAATTGCTCCTTGAGCTTTTGTAGTTCTTTGTTTGTCTTTTCATTATTATCGAATAATCTTTGAACTTCTGAACGAATACGTTTCAGTCTTTGAGGGAATATCAAAGGATTCTTGTCATCCTCGTCAGTATCATTGATAGAAACTAATTTTTCGATTGTTTCTATGTGGAAGCTGATTTTTGGAACAACTTCCTTGTATTGACTTACAATAATCTGCATTTCGGACTGTGAATGCTTTAATTCTTGTAATTCGGCGTTCAATGAATTAACTTTTGTTGATAATCTTAAAGCTGCCTGACTTATTGCTCTTAATTGAGCGTCATAGGTAGTATATCTTTCGAGATTTTCATTATTTTCGAGATTTACGACATAATCTGTCGTTCTTGTTAAGTTATCTAAGACTTTAACAAGCTCAGAATTTTGAGAATTTTGTTTCAAGCGAGAAAGTTCGTCGTTGAGCGATTCCAAATTCTCATCATATATAGATATTGTTGAGGATATGGAATCAGATAAGGATTCTTTCTCATCTTCAAGATCATGACCAATTGATCTTAAAGGATGAATATTTGAATTGATTGTCCTCGAAATTAAGCTTTGTTTCGCTTTCTGTAATTCCAATTCGTATGCCGCAGATTTGGCTCTGGCATCATTATATTTGGCGCGCAAAGAATCTATTTCATTGTTTTGCTGTAATATCGTCTCTGTTTTCTCTTCAATCTGCCTTTCATATACTGCAAATTGATCTGCCATTGAATTAACAACTTTCGAAGATATTTTTTCATTCTTGTCATAGGCTAATTCTGCAAGTTCTTGTAATGGACGAGATGAGATAGAATCAATGTCAAACCTATCTATTTCTTCCTCATTTAAGATTCTTGTAATAAGCTTAATGGGAGAAATTAATTTATTTTGAATATTATCTGTTATTAACTGAAAATCAACAGACTTCATATTAGGCGGTGTTGAACCCCTCAGGAATTCCATTCCAACCTGGTGGAATCTCTTGAAATCCCTCGGGGGTGTTCGAGGAACACTGCTTAAATTCTTCGTCTTGAAATAATGTCGATTATTTTGCTCTCAAAATTTTTTATATCCTTTGTATTGTAATTTTGATCAAAATTTATAAATAATTTGGAATTTTCTTGTTACATTATAGAACACGAAAAAAACAAACTTTACAAAGTTGAGTCATCTGCAATTGAGCCAAAATTTACACCATGCATGCTATTGCATTTGAAACAATCATTTTTGAATGCAACATATCCACATGTGCGCATCAAAATCACGATCCTGGCTTTGAATAAAATAACCGAATATTCTCCAACTAATAATTAGAGCTCACGATATATGGTAAACCATTTTACTGTATCTTATCATTTATGTGGAAGTATAGATAATGTATGTTACTCATGTTCAATATTTGAATGAATCAAATATCATTATTTATGGACGAATATATGAATATTTTTAATTTTCAGAAGTATTAGATGATATATGTTAAATTCATTTATCCATATCAATAACAGCTAGATACTTTTAACCTTAAAATCTAAAAAAAAACAAGGGGCATTTGTTAGCTTCACAACTCGTAATACCCTTTGAATTTAACCAAGATTCTAGAGCAAGCAAAGAATTAGCATATCCTTAAGAGAATGCAATGTTTGTTGCCTGAATTAAACTTTACAAAAAAGAACATATTTTGATTTTTTGCAAACTATCAATTTTCTCATCATTCAATCAGCCAAAATTACTAAAATTCGAAAAAATTTATAACCCTATCGGAAAAGCTCTACCATAAAAAATTAAATTTATGAAATATTTTTGAGACCGCGTTTTCTCTTTGAAAATCAAGGAAATAAATCAGATACAAATATATACTAATTACGGAGAAAATGAGAAAAAACTGTCTTGCAATATCTCAATCAAAAACAGACACTACCCATTAGTTAACTGGTAAGTTCGCCATTATCATAACGAACCACATACAGTTATCAAATAAATATTAGTGCAAAAGCACAACCAGCAATAAAATTTATGGATTTTTATTACTTTTAACTTGTTTTACCTCTACACAAAGAAGATTACTTTTGATTTACATAAATTTCAAGTAGTATCTTCGAAATAATTGTATTTTATAATTATAAAATTTTTATTTTTAATTTTTTCGGTAAATATATCTGATTTTGAATTTTTACCATAAATAGTTCTGCTTTAGAAAAAAAAAGTTATTTACTTAAAATTAAATTTTGCTCTCAAGAAATACCGATGTTTTTCGTGAAGAAAAAGAAATATTTTGCATTAACATCAATTATAAAGCACATTTATTTTTCCAAAAAAATCTCAATTTTGGAATTTTGTTATAAAAATTGTATTTTTTCATTTTATTTTTAATTTTTAGAATTTTTTTTGGAATTTACACCTAAAGCTAAGACAGATTTTCATATATAACTAGGGTATATTACATGATATAGTTATAATTTTATCTCAAAAATTTATACATTCCTTTTAAAAAGGAGTATTTCGATTCAATATCATGCATTCAAAGCATTTGTTAGTCGATGTAACCTAAGACATCAGAATTATAACATTAGTATATTACAAAAGGGCTGTTATAAATGATAATATCAATTTTTTAAAGAGATATTTTCTGATCAAGTTTTTCATGCATAAATTTAGGATATATTATTTGTTATTCACCATATACTATTGAATTTCTGCAGAAATAACTCCTGATACTTCATTATTGTTAAAAAATTGAAACAAAATCTCACAGAATCTGTTGAATAATGATATATTTATGCATTGCTTAAGTTACAAAAATGATGCAGAGCATTGGCATATGCATTATTAACTTATATCATTTAATAAAATTCAAGACAATAATATCACAAAATAGGCAAGACCAATTTTCTTCACATGACATATTTAGTATATGTGGTATATATGCAATCTATATTCTTGAGGATATGGCTTAAATCAGGTCAGTAAAGTATCTGTACTCTTCATATCAATGTGATTTTTAGCGAATTTTTAAACCGTCACTTTGCGAAAAACAATGACCCAAGAATATAAAAAAGGTCAATTTTTTGCAATTCAGCGTCACGATTCACCAACTCTAACTGATATATTTCCAAGATATAGAACAGGAACATCAAATCAGCATTATTTGTACTCAAATGATTTAAATTCAACAGCTGAACCATTAAATTTTCAACCAATGTCAACAATAGACTTTGAAGAACGAGTTGTTTATCGTTCTTCTCCATCAAAAAACAGGAATTCTCCTGTTCCTAACACAAATTCACCGCTTACTTCAAGTAGAGATAAAATAAGTGTTAGAAATACTTCAGTAAGTTACATGAATGAAACTCCAGTTAAAGAAAGCACAATTAAATCTTCATTAAATTCTATTACTCCGCCTTCAGTTGTTTCAGAACAAAGAAGCTCGAAATCTTCATCTTCTCAAATAAGAAATGATACTAAATATGATTCAATCAAAACAGAATCAGTTTCTTCCAAAAAACAATCAAATAATGAAATTCAAAACAATAAGATAGCCAGTAAAGTTGGATCTAGTCCAACATACCAAACTAGTACATCACCAAAGCCGAGTAACTCAATTAGCTCTCCTCCAAAATATAATCAAATTAATTCACCTCCGAAGTACAGTTTCATGAACTCTTCGCCTAAATTATCAACAAACTCACCAACTTATAGCAAATCTACTGCACAAAACTCAATTTCATCAAAGCCAACTTATATTCCTTATCAATCTCCACTTACTAAGTCAGATAAGTATGTTTTAGATGTCAAGGAAGACATTAAGTCTCCACAATCAGGTTCTTATACAAATTCGAGTGATTCAACAAAAACATCACCAATAAATTACCAAAAATACCAGAAAACACCAGCAAAGACTAATTACAATATTTCCAATAGATCTTCTAAGAAATATGAAGTTATTGATGATAAAATAGAAGAAGAAGAGGAATATGATTCAGATCTTCCAATTGAACCAATGCCAAAGCAAGAAGAAACAAAAACAAAGTCACCAATACCAGATAACTATAAGAATATCTCTAATATTAACATTGATGAGTCAGATTATTCAGAATATGATGATTCTGAGAGAGAAGACCAAATTTCAGACGACGAAGAGGAAGAATATGACATAGATGAAACAGTGCAAAGTTTTTTCTCTCCTCTCAAACCTCCATTATCGGAATCCCACAGCGTCCCTCCATCTCCGAAATCTAAGAAGTCAAGTTATGAAGAAATTGATACTGACTCTGATGATGAGCCTAAAAAGAACTTAAGTCCAACAAGAAAATCAATTATTAAACATATCTCAGAAAATTCTGACGATGAACCAGAACAAGTACTAAGTCCAACACAGAAATCAATAATGATTGATGGTGACCACTCCCAAATTTCAGATGATGAAAGCGAAGAAGAAAAAGAATTTCCATCTATAGTAAGTCCAAGGAAATTCAATGAAAGCGCTGAAAGATCTTTTGTTAATGATACTCAGAATGGTTCTGCAATAGGTCTCCCATACTATGATCCTTCTTTATCTGTAATTGACGACGAAATTGAAGAAAAAGTTAAAGAAAAGAGTCCTAAAGAAGACAAAACTTTATCTCCAAAGGTTAAAAGTCCAAGAAAACAATATAGATCTTCTCCATCTGTTCCACAGAAGCCTCAAGAAAAATCTCCAGTTAATAATTCGAAATCTCCAAAGAATATCACTGGTTCAAGCCCTGTAAATGTAACTTACAAGTCACCTGTTACTTCAAATCCTGTTCCTTCTAAGACAGAAACAATTTCTTCAAGAAATAATACTAATCCAGCTAAAGTTGAGAGCAAGGAAATTAAGAAACCTGTTACTACACCTACAGTTGCTAATAATGTCCAATCAAAGAATTATTTATCCAATAATTCTGCAAATGCCAGACAAAACCCTATCCAAAAGGATTTCAGACCAACTAGCAAGCATTTACTTGGTTCTAAACCAATAAAGAACATTAATGACGAAGAAGATGAAAAACCAAGTTATTATTCACTGACAGAAGAAGAATCATACGACAGCCAACCGAATCAAGCCATTAAACAAAAGATTTCTGACTCATATAAGCCAAAGCAGTCGATTTCTGATGAAGAAGAAAGCTTTAATTACGAAGAAGACGATGAAATGCTTCAACCATCCATTTCCAATCACTCATTTGAAGAAGATAAACAATACAATGCTAGAATTGGTCCTGGCAGTGCTATAAGTCAGAATTCTTATTCTTCAATGCAGACAATTGAAGTTAAAGCACGTCCATCTGAAAAACCAAAAGAAAATCCAATAGAATCAAAGAATTCACCACTTGACAACAATGTTAATCCTCTCCAAAAGCTTTTGGGACAAATTAATATTAAATCTGAAGAAAAACCTTCTTCTCAGCCTAAATCATCTGTTCCACAACAAAACAAGCAACAATTCAATAATAATTTCCAACAGAAAGTAAATAATCAGAAAATTATTGAAAATGTTACTCCAATTCAAAAAGAAGAGGACAAATCCCATATTGATAACGAAGAGGAAGAAGATGAATTCTCTATTCCTGACATTGCCAAGAAATATCTCGATAGTAATTCAGATGATTCAGATATTGAACTTCCTCCTGAAGCAATCAAGTATCTAGAAGAAGAAAACACACAAGTTTCACTCTCTGATGACCAAGATATTGAAAATAACTCACCACAAAAGACTACATCAGGAGTTGACATCCAAATTAGATCAAAAATGAATGATGAGAGCATTGAAGACAATGTCAGACCTGTTGTTAGTATCAGTCAATGTTCAAATGTCGGATACAACTCTCAGGCAGTTTCTATTTCAATAAAAGGAGAAGAAGAAGAAATTAATGACGAAGAAGATGGAAATGCTGAAGAATCAGAAGAGGATATTGATATATCCAATATAGAAGAGATATTAAAGAAATATAATGTTGATTTAGAAGAAGAATCACAACCTGATGAATGATTTTTCTTCAAACTTGTATTTAAACTGTTTTTGTTATCATACTGCTATTTTTCTTAGTATTGTTTAATGATGTTGAAGATAATTCCATCAAATACTGAAATCTCAATTCAAATTAACAAATCAAAGATGTTGAGTAATAATGCGCATACTATTAGCAACATATAAACTGAAAATACGAATAAATCCCACGTTGTATTTAAAAGGAAGAGTTTTTTGAGGAAAATTTTTCTTAAAAATTCAGCAAGAATCAATAATTTAATTTGATTTCGATTATCCAAACTTAGTATATTTATGCTATTACAGAATTAAGATTATTAAACCAACTTTCAAAAAAAAATTATCAAAAGTTGCGCATAATGAGTTCAACGAAAGGCAAATATTGCTATCAACGTTCGTATATCAATAAAATAAGAGGAATGTGATGGGGCCATGGAAAATTGAGGGATCTTCGTCATAACCGCCGATCGTCTTTTGTAAACAAATAAATCATAAATATGGGCGTCAGAGCTCCTTATAATGGACTTCTTTACGGTTCAATCGTTTTCATCATCCTTATTGTCCTCACAGCCATTATCCTCGGAATAGTTTTCCGTAAGGGTCAGACCTGCTACGCAATCAACTTTGCTACAATTTTATATGTTATGGCTTGGATCATGTGGATATGCGTATATCTTTGCCAGATGTTCCCATTAATTGTTCCACAGAAGACGAAACCATAAGTTACTTAACTCTCTCTTGTCATATATGATTAAAGATTTTCTATTATTTAAATCAAGCGCAACCTAGCAAAATGCACCGATAAATTCGATTTCAACATCAACTACTTAAATGAAGAAAAATTCATCAAGAAAACATTAAATATTACGATTTTCTTTTTGTAGTTGATGTTTTGATTTCTATTTATCAGCTGCATCTTTTTACATAAGTTTTTTTTTTTTACAAGTCATTTCCTAACTCCTTGATCGAGATAATCTCCAAAACATATGGAAACTCCAAAATGACCATTAATTGGTCAAATGTCCTGGAATGATACTTTTACTGATAAACAATGTTTTGCAAAGGTTTTAGAGGATTTGCTTGGGGAAGATTTCTCCGAAAAAAAAATTGGAATGTTATAATATTTTAAAATAATAATTGTTTATTAGATTTAAAGGACTTTAAATTATTATCGAAAAAAAATCCTAAGTATTTGTTTAGTAATCAAAATTCTAAGTAAAAATATCAATAACGGGAATCAAAAAGTGGGAATACTTTTACTTAGTGGTTGACGATCTTGCCGGTAACAGTTCTAGCGACCTTAACCTTTGGTTCTGGCTTGGCTTCATCGAGGATCTTAAGAAGAAGAGCTGTGCGGTTACGCATCTTCTGGTGAAGGAAGGCCTTTGTGCACTTAATGTGATAGTGAAGATAATCTCTGAACATTGGAACATAGACAGATGTATCCTGGCGCTTACGCTCAGAGAGGGAAGCAGCAAGAAGGCTCATAGAAACATAAGCAAAGAGTGAGCCATCCTTAACTTCTGGGCGGAGATGGAAGGCCTCGAGTTCACCTGGGCATTTATCAGAGAATGCGACAATTGGAGCAGATCGAACACGTGTACGAGCAGCAGCAAGTTCTCCGAAGAAAACGTTACCGATGATGCGATCGCCTGGGTCGTTGAAGCGGATTGTGAAAATGGCAGTAGCGCCCTTTTCAGCTGGGGAAAGGAAAATTGATTCGCCTGTGTGGGCACGGTATGGGATTTCGAATGGGGCGAAGTTCTCCTTAGCATTAACCTTCTTGGCAACCCAAAGGAATGGAGCGCCGAGCATATTTGGCTTGAGGTTAGCAATAAGCTCAATTGTAGCCTTTTGCTCTGCAGCACTCATTTCCCAAAGATTGACAACAACAGCGTGTGTTCTGCCATCTGTTGGAGCGACTTTCCATTTGCCATAAAGCTCTTTGTATCTCTCTTCAGCACCATACTGCTTGATAGCTTCCCAGCATGGAAGCTTCATTTCAACGCGAACTGGATACTTAGCGTTCTCATCCTTGGCGCCCTTTGGTTTTTCAAGACGGATAAGGAAGCTGACGCCATCGAAATCGCAGCATTCGTATGATTCAGAAAGCTTGTCGTTTGGATCAAGGCTGCGTTCAAGTAATGTCTTGACAATGGCGGAGTGGGCTTCAAGAATAATCATTTGTGATGTCACCTTTTTCTTTTTTTTCATTAAAACCGTCAACTAACCAGCACCAGAAATCCCTCCACCCAAAAATTTATCATTCTTTGATGTATACCCCATAGCATCTAAATAATATAAAAATGCTATAAAAGTCCAAAAATTAATCACTTCAAATCTGGACAAAATGTATTTTACTGCCCATATTCAGAACAAAATAAATATATAAACATAAGAGATAGTTTCTAGATAGAAATTGAAAGTCTTATCGAAATAAAAATCATTGTCTAATCAAAATTTGCCCAGGTGAAGCGACAATGCCATATCGTGTCATCATCATTATGATATATTAGTAATAATATATCTTAAAGTACTAATAAATTCATCTGATAACTCATGTTTGTGGACGATTCAAAACAAAAAGGTATATTTGTATTGATTCTCAAAATCATTCCCAAAAATATTGAGCTCCTATATAAAGGGAAATATTGTACTCCAGCCGATACATCTGTTTTGCCTCCTCATATAATATAGCCATTTCAAAATTTCGTTTTTCATCATTGTGGCTTTTAGAGCATTCACCTTATCTGAATGATTGTATAAATGTTTATGCCAAAATTGATGATTTAATAGAGTTGATCTAGTCAGATATATTTTTAAGCCATAACTAGTGAATTTATTATAAGTGAATGAAGTATATTCCATATTAGATAATTTGAAATGTAATCATAAATAAATGGGAATGAAAATATCAATGGAATTGTATCATGAATGTAATTGAGCGTCTTTCTTATTATAGCAGTTATTTTCCGTAAAAAATTAATATTTATGGTTTTAAAAATAAAACAAACAAAAAATAAAAATAATAAAAATGGAATTAGCTCCACACGCATACTCCGCCGGAAACATCTCCTGTTATGATTGTTCCTAAGATTGGATGGACAGATACTGCACAAATATCTGCCTCGTGATCAGAATTGAAAGGTTTTGTTTCTTTGAGTGTATTTTGATCAAGAATCTTTAATGTTTTGTTCTGACCACCGATATAAATATTATTCTTATATACAGCTGCTTGTAAATGATCATATATCATCAGATTTGGAATTGTTTGCTGAATTAATTTTCTCTCAGGCATTCTTTTATCAAAGCTCGAGATATTCTTTGCTCTGCTAATAGTAAATACCAGGTTTTCTGGTTCATTGCTCAATACTTGTACAATTTCAGAACGACAAGCTTGAATTTCTATGGCACACTTATCGCTGAACATATCCCAGTATCTAAGCTTCCCGTCTCTATGTCCGCAAAGTAAAAGATTGCCTTCCATCTGAAGATTCAAAGATTGAGGAGTACTTTGGCATCTAAGAGAAGCTTTTGTAGCCTTTTTGTTAATATCAAAGTTATAGATCATACAGTCTCTTCCAGCTGAGCAAAGAGCATAATCTGATGTAAAAATTGCGTCATTAATTGCATCTTGATGCAAAGACGTAGAAAAGAGCATTGACGATCCTGTACCTTCATATATGGATATATTGTGGTCGAATGACGCTGAAAGTAACTTACTTCCTGTTGGAGAATAATTGACTGCCATAATTCCGTTTTTGGCGGTATAGTAATTTGCTGATATTTCCATTTTATCAAGACGTATAATATGGACGCACCTGTCAGCACCACCAATGGCAGCATATGGATTTGAAGGTGAAAAATCAATGGAATAAATTTGATTTGTAAAATTGAACTTGTTGGTACATTGATCTGTTGATGATGACATATAATTATAAATATCATATGTCTTTCGCTTTTTGGATCGATGAGATTTAAGATTTGCTGGAAAATCATTACTTTGATTTGGAATTTGGAAGCTCCGTACTAGTAAAGAAGAATATGACTTCTTTTTAAGAAGTTCGATTCTATTATTTATACTTTGCATTGAATTTTTACATTTTTGTAGTGTATTTTCATAATCATAGAGCTGTGTTATCAATGAATCTTTGGTTTTTATCTTGTAAACAATAGAATTCGATAAATTTGATAAAATTGCATTTGCAGAATTCAGATTTTCTTGCAATTCATCGTATTCTTTCTGAAGTTTACTATTCTTTAGCAATAAAGAAGATATCTCTGTTGATTTGATTTCAACAAAATCAATTAGTTCTTTAATTTGGGATTCTATATCTTTCAATTTTTTAACTGTATCTTTATGCTCTTTAGAAAGCCTTTTAATATCAGCCTTTAGTGCATTAACGTCCTCTGCTTCTTGATATGGAACAATTTCTTGCTTTAATTTATCTTCAAAACGCGTTTTATCCTTTAATTCAAGTAATTCGAACAAAATCTCGTTTGAGGTTTGACACAACTCGTTAAAGCTTTGATCGGTTTTAGATATCTCATCTCGTTGACGTAAACGAGAAATCAAATCATCCATCAAAGCTAAAATTTATATAAAATTGTAAAGAAAATGCGTAAAAGAACAATGTTTTCGTTAAAGATAGCAGTTCATGTTAATATTTATCTTAAATAAAACAAATAATCTGAATTAATTACAAAATTCAATAATCAATCTTCAACAGGTGGAGTGCCTGGTCTTGGACCGATATAGTAATTTGAATCAGTGTCAACAGGCTGTAAAACTGAGAAACTTGGTACGAGATGTTTATCAATATGAAGAATAGCTCCTTTATTTTGATATTGGTAGCAGTAATTAGGAGCGGAAAAAACAGTAACTATTCCATGAATATCAGGGAACGTGAAATCATACCCGCAGCTCACAGCTTGATGACCTCTTATTATTAGCTCTAGATTGAACTTTTTAAGGAAATTCTGAAGAGGATTAGAGCCAAAAACAAAACTAGTTCCACGAGAATTCTCTTCCCAGCTTCCAGCATCGCAGTCTGGATCAGACCATAATAAATCACAAATAATTCCTGATTCAGGAACTTCATATGGTCTTTCTATTGATTTGATTTGATCTAATGAATCAATATATGGAGAAATTCCTCCATGAACGCAGAAATATTTATCTTCAATAATTGCTACTAAAGGTAAGTAGTTGAAAGTATCACAAAAGAGTTTCCATATGTCTATGCTAAACCTTGTTTCGCATTCTTCTAAGAAACCGAAATATTCATTAGTTGGAGCTGATTCGTGATTTCCACGTAAAATAAAGAAGTTTTCCGGATATTTGATCTTGTAAGCAAAAACTAGGCATACCGTTTCAATGCTATTAAGCCCTCTATCTACGTAATCGCCGAGAAATGTGTAATTTTCTTGAGGTGGTTGGCCTGCAAGACGAAAAATTCGTAATAAATCATGAAATTGTCCATGTATATCCCCACATATTGTCATTGGGGCACGTAGTTCTAGTAGCATGGGTTGGTCGATCAATACCTTTCGAACTTCATCGCATAAGTACCGAATTTCAGCACTATTTATTGATGAATATGTCCCATCAGGTTCATCTTCAATATCCCAGAGCTTCTTGATTATGTTATCTACATTGAACATTCCGAATTTAAAAATTTTGAATAATTCAAAAGAAAATTTAGAGTCTTCCAGAATGGCTAATAGCAACACATCTAAATTCCAAACTATTCAAGATAAAATTAAACGGTCTCTTTTTTTTTATGAAATAAAAATTTTTCAATTTATCTCGATATGAGCAATGGATCAGGCTCGATTATTTCCAGTAAATCATAGAACACTCATAGAAATATATTGTCGCACCCACAAGCAATGCTGAAAACTAAGCCAAGTTTTAGATATTTTGCAAACAAATAAAATGTGGTAATTACTTTTAAAAAATCCAATTTGAAGCTTACTTATTATCTACATGTGTTATCCTTATCACTCAATTTGTTAAAAAAATACATGACTAATTCTATTTTTTTAAATAGCCTGTTCATGATCAAATAATATATATCTATAAAAATTTTATGTAAGAATTAACCTAGTATTTATGCAGTTTGTTCAACAGGAAGTTCAATTTCGCAAACTTGATCAGCTGGCAAAGTTAAATCGGTTGGGCGTTTTCCATAGACGTAGCCAACAGGAGTAAGTCCCCATGGATCTCCATTAGGATAAGCTGGTATTTTAACGTCATTTATCGAAGGCATCAACTCTATAAAGCGAGCTACGAATGGATCGGCTGGATCTTTTTGGCTAACATAAAATTTAATTATTGTCGATATATTTTGATTCGATTGCGTGATTTTTGTAAGAAAATCAGATAATTTCACTTTTATGGAATCGAAATTAAGACCAAATGGATTTTCATTAGTGAGGAGTTCATTCATAAGTTGGGGCAAGACTATTATTGTTAATTCTGTAAAACCGAATGTACTGGAGGAAAATTGTGCTGTATTTTCAGGAGTAAATAAATCCTTAAACTTGGATATTGTTGAGTCAGTTTTTTGTTGATATTCTTGTCTCATTTTTGCCCAATAATTGGTTTTCATAAAATCATAAACAAAAAGAACATATGGCTTTAAAATGTAATCTTCTACTTCCTCTGGATTACCGCGTGGACGTCTTTTTGAAATTTTTGCATTATCAACTCTGTAATTTTCAAATTCGCCAACAGTCCTAAGAAAATTATCTCTGCGGAATTCTATTAGAAATTCTAGAATTGTTAATGTGAAGTACATTGGCTTTGGAAGAGTACTTTTAGTATTTGCTATCTTAAGTTTTTGATAAGCCAAAGCATCTTTTTCTTTAGTGTTGGATAAGATTAAATCAGCAACGTTAAACAGTTCTTCGTTATCCCTAAATCCAAAAGCACCGAACTGGAATTGATCCCAAACATTGAACATTTTTTTTAGCTAAAAATGTGACAGGATATGAAAATTCACATCATAATTTATAAATAAAGGTTCAGTCACTTCCTTCCAACCAAAATATTGGCCCGAAACTCTTGCTAGAGACTATACATAGCGTATATATGAAGAAGAGTGAGTTTGGAGAAATTCGTTTAATACAATCTTGATTTATAATATCCCGACGAAAGATGACTGATAAATGGTATCAAGATTCTGCTTTGCATGATGGAATATTTTATAATAGCAATGAAATAGTAGAATTACTGCTTTCACTTGGTGCAAACATCAATGAAAAAGATAATGAAGGGAGAACACACCTTTTTGAAGCAGTTGATGAAAATAGAAAAGAAGTTGTTAAATTTATTCTTTCACAAGGCGCAAATGTCAATGAAAAACGTGATTATGGAAGAACAACTCTTCAATCATCAGCCGAACAAAATTATAAAGAAATGGTACAACTTATTATCTCACATAGCGCAAATATCAATGAAAAGGATGAAAATAGAAGAGCAGCTCTTCAAGTTACAGAAAAACATTTTGAGAAAGATACTGTTGAGCTTCTTATTTCCCATGACGCAAATATAAATGAAAAAGATGAAGCTGATAAAACAGCTCTTCATGATGCGGTAATTAACAATAATAAGAAATAGTCGAACTTCTTATTTCACATGGGGCAAATATAAATTGAAATCTTATCACAATGTTATTGTTTGATATAACAAACAATAGCAATTACGATGTATTTACGAATACACTTAGATACGATTATCATATTTATTTGTTATTGATGAAATAAAGACATTATTATTTACTTTTAAAAATATAGAAATTCCTAATGTATATATCATTTTTAACATAATATAGGAGACCTTGTGTTGCATGCTAAGTTCGGTCAAAATGTAAACCTCTCAATTTTATCGTCGGGGAAAGTAACTCAATTCCTTCAAAATTATTCTTTAAATATTGAATTTAAAGTTATTTAATTTGGATTATAAATAAATAGGCTAATACAATATTTAAAAATGAGAAAAAATAACTTTTCAAAGAACTTTTCATAATCTCAAAGAAAATTTTTTATTCAATAATTATATAAATTAATTAAGGGTGCCCTATAGACGATAGACCACCCTCAGAAAAGCACTTTTAAGGCTATTATATTGAGAACTAGAATCTGGATAATCCATTCATTCGAGTTCTAATAAGGTTAATTTTGTGATGTTTACATTATCGTTATAGGGCACCCTTAACATTCATAATGGAATTGGATTTTTTTATAAAAAATTGGTCCTACTTAACTTTTTGAGAGAATTTGGCTTTTCATTTTTTATTATGAGTAGACCAACGAGTGCGGGACAAATTTGCCAAGTGTCACTTTTTAATAACCTTAAATTACGCTTTTCTAAATTTTTAAAAAATAACCTTAAATTATATTTGAAGAAATTATGTCTATGATATATGTTTTATGCTAGAATCTTGGAGTTTTCATGCACTACACAAGAGCTCCAAGGTTCCAAGAGTGAATGCTCAATAGCAATTATAGAGATGTACCTTTTCAAAATGACTTTTACTGATTAAATTTAATCAATAGAAGACATTTTGAAAAGGTACCTCTACAATTAGATATACAAGAGATTCAAAGCTTCATTTCAGATAGATGTGAAACTTTGAAACTCTTGGTAGATTTTGAGTGAATGCTGACAATCATCTTTGAGAAGGTTTTCTTAAAGAAAACCTTCTCAAAGAGGTTTCTCAGGAGCCCTGAGGCTCCCTTTCGTAATGATTGGGAGCCTTGGGGCTCCTGAGACGAAGAATGGCTTCGCCGAATCTTTGATCAGCAGAGGCCAAATGAAAAGGCCTCTGCTGATGGATTCTCAGGAGCCCTGAGGCTCCCTTTCGTAATGATTGGGAGCCTTGGGGCTCCTGCAGCAGAGTATCGCTCCGCTCCATTAATTTTTTTTTAAAAAGTGCCGTGTGGCAAATTTGTCCTGTTCCCGTAGACCAACCATTCCTTCTTGGTGGTTAATTCAAACACGCGAAAAACTTGAATCTCGCGAACTCAATTATTTAATTGCGTGTAAGCGAGTTCCATACGAGGATGAAATGAAGTGTGAATTTAGATCAATTTCGAAAAACACACTTAAAGCAGCATACACAAATGCAAATTTAACGCCCCCAAACGTTAAACCTGGTCCGGCACCAGATGATATTACTCCTGAAAATTTGCAATATGTTCTCCAAAAATTTCAGGAATATAAGTGCGGAATCCAAAAGATGTCTTGGCGTTTAAACATGGATCAAAATGTTTATTCAGTTTCCTACAATAAACTCAGAAGAATTTACAGTATTTTGGAGATCAAAGAACCAAAAAGTGACAGGCCCCCTCAAAACTATTATACGCCATATGAAGCAACAAAACCTGATACCATATGGCATGTAGATGTTCATTTTTTATACGGTTCACAGAGGTTACCTGTAGTTAGTATGGCTAAGTCGTGTACTGAGGCACTGCGCGCCTCCGTACACCACTTAACCTTAAATATTTACAAAACCGTTAACGTATATTTTACAACACAAACGACAACACTAACTTAACCTTAAATATTTACAAACCGCCAACCACTAACGACTTCATTAATGTAAAAATAAACGTTCTCACTTACAAAAGTATTGCAACTCCTCCCATTGCTGTGCTTCACATAACAGCTCATAATCTTCTGACTCACTTTCTTCTTCATATAGGTCAAAGTCACTGTCAAAATAAATGTTAGTAAGTTTTGACAAAGCTAATGAAACACGTTTACCGTTTGTATCGTATGCTTGTATAAACTTTCCATTCTTCATTCCTTCATAAACGCTCAAACTAACTTTACCCTTTCTCCCTCGTATCTGATAGAATGTATTTTCACGAGGAACGAAGAACAAATTCTTGAACTCATGACCGTTGTAGTTTGTTATCTCAATAGTTTTCGTCATTTATATAAAAATAAAATAAAAAATAAATGATATCACCACCCTCACACGTATGAAAACATAGCGCAAAAATATATTTAGGGTAGAAGGGTAGATCTAACCTCATTTCTACCCTCATTTCTACCCTGTTGAATTCATTGCTTTATAACTCTCTTCCTTGGTTTCTTTTTAGTTGCTTTCTTCACGTCTGTCTCCAACTTGACTGTCTTTCTTCTTCGTCCGTAATGATACCAGTTACTTCCACCAGTCAATGGGTCAAATGGTCGTTCATAAGGGTTTCCATACATTCCATAGGGACCATACGGAAGAACTACTGGTGGAGAAGAAACATTTTCTTTAGTTCCATCGAATCTATTTAAATGCATTGTTTCACCTTTCATCTGGTCATTAAAGTCTTTTGCGTGTTTTGCAAACTCGTCGTCCTTTCCTAAAGCATTTTCTGACTCAGTCGCAACCAAATTGGATGCTTTATTTATGAGCCCTATTTTATTTAATCTCAACTTCTTTGCAACCCAGCCTCCAATCTTCCCTTTATTTGCATCTAATGTCTTTGAAACCCTTCCTCCACTCATTTTATTTACTGCGTCATAAGCTCCAAGTGCTTTTGCTCCAAATGCTAATGCTTTTGTTCCCATTGCGCCTAAAGCTGCCCAAGCTACCATTTACACCATATTAAAATCATCTCTCTTCAATATTATCTCATAAAAGTTCTCGTTACTGGAGAAAGTCAATGAAACGTAAGCGTTCTCACGGGCTTCGCCCTCACCGCTTTGCGGTCTATCTAACTTATTTCTTATATCATCTATACGCTTCAAAATGTCTGAACAATTGCTAACATCTTCTACAACAGTTATTTCATCATGAATGACCTTCAAGAACAAGCTCATTTAATATGCTATTAAAATCATCTCAATAATGAGTCCATCCTTTCCATCTTTAGGTAGCACAACATCTTTCATGAAGAAGGTTCGACAAGTCTTATGTTAAACTTACTGACAAAGTTTGTTATACTATAATGCTTTGGCGGCGAATACATATAGTTTGAAAGACATAATATAGATTCTTCAGCAAATTCACTTATACTGGATTTTATAACAATGTTCTCACGAGACCAAATACCATCAATTGACAATCTTGTAAGCAATCCTGCTGAACCTTCTACTGTAAACGTCGATGGTAACATTCCACGAAGGTCATCTATTGACATCTTTGAGTCACTGAATTTAAATATTTTCTTAAAACAATCGTCATTATCTAACCATGCAATAGCTTTGAAGTTTTCATTCGAATATACATCTGCTTCATTAAATGTAAAACCTGACTTCTTTGCAGAGATGACTTTAAAATCTATTGAGTTTGTTTCAAAATTATATGCTATGGTAACTTCTGAAGGTAATGGATGCCCTTCCGCAGTCAGTTGTCTCTCACTACCGTTTGAAGTTTTGTATTAAAAACTTTCATGTCATCTCCTGTATCTAAGTTTCAATACACAGCAACAGGAAAACTATCTTGCTTCTTTGTTTCATCATTATACCTCAAAACATTAAAGTTCTTCAATAATATTGTTCTTCCTGCTGGAATACTTCGAACCTGTCTGATTTCAATAGCTTTCTCACCTCCTACATACTCTACCCAGTGTCTTGGATATTCATAAGTATACTGACTTTCTTGAATTTTGGTTGGTTTCATCATAACATGTTCATAGTATATCTTTATACTCTTGTCAGTTAGACTCGGTGCTATGTTCTGAATATTTCTGACTTGCATTTTTAATGGAGATAAAATGAAGCATTTAATACATGACGTAGATGAAGACATGAATGAAACTACAGACAAACTTAACTCTTCTCTTATTCTTCCTTTCAGCAAAGATTATGAATTCTGTTCAAATGGTGTTTATTTCTATTGTGGAAAGATGGGTTCAGGTAAGACATTTAACCTCATTCGTCATATACTCATAACAGAACGTTTAGGAAATGACTCATATTATGACCAAATCATTATATCAGCAACTTCAGACTCTATGGACTCAACAGCGAAAACATTTATGTCAAAAGTTCAAGCCTCTGTCGTTAAAGTTCCAGACAGTGAACTCATTGAATTTCTTCAACGTTACATTCGACGTAAGAGGAAATATTATGCCATCGTTGAATTTATACAGTCAGGAATGCAAAAGACTTCTGAGGAGATGGAAAGAATTATTGACAAACACCACTTACGTCAGTACTCAGGAGTTTACGATATGAAACGACTGACAAACTACATTCTATCAAAACTTTCAAAATACCCCTTCAAAAAGTATCCTTCAAACACTCTGCTCGTTTGTGACGACTTCGCTGGTAAAGGTTTAGTGTCAAAGCCTGACTCACCATTAGCTAACATCATAACTAAAGTCAGACATTACCATTTAACTGTAGCAATACTTATGCAAACATGGAGGTTTTTAGCTTTAAACATAAAACGTCTCATAACTGACTTCGTTATCTTTCAAGGTTTCTCACGCTATGATATTGAACTCATTTGGAAACAGTCAGTATAACATTACCTTTGAAGAAATTTGGAAGCATATAAGTCTCTCATCTCTCCTCGTTCATACCTTGAGATTCATATCATGACTAATACCATTAAAGTCAAAAATATTCCATGGAACGACCAACATTGTTTTAAAGTTTAACCTTCA